TACCAAAATTTTAAAATAAAAAATTGTTAAAAACAATTCGTGTGTATACGCAGAAATTCATCTGGTATATATATTTAAAATCTAATTCAGCGTTGATATATGTATAAATTTTGTTAAGCTTTTTCAACTTTTCTTGTGAATTAATGAAACGAGATTGATCAAAGGGAATACAAATCGAGGTGAATTGTGATTGGAGCGCGTGGAGGACACGCTCGTTCTCAAGTGTTAATCCAGTCACAATCAAAGTTGAAGGATCACAATTTTTTTTATCCAACCCCTTCGGCCATGAAGAGGACGAAACCACGAGGTCCACCAAATTCCTGCAAAACTCCAAAACTTGATCTCAAAATATCAACATTATCCGCCACTACGGTGAAGCGGCTCTCTCGTCGTTGTAGCGTATACACTAGTTTCTCTCATGCTCTTATGCTTCTGCCCTTGCCACGTACCTCACTTCCTCATGAGTCGTCTATCTCCTGCCACCGGAATCTCTCCCCGTCTTCACTGCACCGTTGATTGGGGTTCTGATGGGCGATTACTTCCCTTCGGATTCGGATTACGGAGAAACGAGGTCCCGTTTAAACGCCGCCTGAGATTTGTGATCAGGGCGGAGCTCTCTGAGGCTTTCTCTCCGGATTTGGGTTTGGATTCTCAGGTCATTTGCTTCTCTTATACTTCCTTCTTTGGATTCATCACCTTCATGTTCGATCAATTGACTGAGAGAGACAGAGTTTGATAGTTAGAATTCTATATTCATCTTTTGCGTAGATGGATCCCTGCAATTTTCTTGCTGCAAAGCTGATTAAGTGATCTTTAGATTATCGAATTATTTCATGATTCAGAACGGAATAATCAAAGTATATTTTATAGGGAATTAGCTGTTTTCACATGTTTTTTCAGTTGATTTGTTTAGTTTGGAATTCTGGAGTTTGTTTTTTGTTATGAACTGGTCGACTGACTTCGTTTACTTGGATCATTAAGGCTGTGAAATCCCGTGATACATCAAACTTGCCTTGGATCGGTCCAGTTCCAGGGGACATTGCTGAGGTTGAGGCATATTGTAGAATTTTTAGATCAGCTGAGCGACTACATGGAGCTTTGATGGAGACGTTATGCAACCCTGTGACTGGTGAATGTCGGGTACCGTATGATTTCTCACCCGAGGAAAAACCATTACTGGAGGACAAAATAGTGTCAGTGCTTGGTTGTATATTATCTCTTTTAAACAAAGGAAGAAAAGAAATTCTCTCTGGGAGGTCATCTTCTATGAATTCATTTAGTTTGGATGATGTAGGGGTTGCAGAGGACACACTTCCTCCACTTGCCATTTTCAGGGGTGAAATGAAACGGTGTTGTGAAAGCTTACACATTGCCCTCGAGAATTATCTGACCCCTGATGATGAAAGAAGTGGAATTGTCTGGAGGAAATTACAGAAGCTTAAAAATGTCTGCTACGACGCAGGTTTTCCACGCAGTGATAATTATCCCTGCCAAACACTTTTCGCGAATTGGGACCCTATTTACTCGTCAAATATGAAAGAGGATACTGATTCCTACGAGTCTGAGATTGCATTCTGGAGGGGAGGACAGGTTACCCAAGAAGGATTGAAGTGGTTAATCGAAAAAGGATTTAAAACAATTGTTGACCTGAGAGCTGAAAATGTGAAGGATACATTCTATCAGGCGGCACTTGATGAGGCAATTTCCGCTGGGAAAATTACATTGGTGAAAATTCCAATTGAAGTCAGGATGGCCCCTTTAGCTCAGCAGGTCGAGCTGTTTGCTTCTATTGTGTCAGATAGCAGCAAAAGGCCGATCTATGTTCACAGTAAGGAAGGTGTTTGGAGAACTTCTGCGATGGTTTCCAGGTGGAAACAGTACATGACACGTCCGATAACGAAAGAAATTCCAGTTTCAGAAGAGTCAAAGAGTCGTGAGGTTTCTGAAACTATGCTTGGATTGAGTGCTGTAGTATCTGGCAAGGGTGTGCCTGATAAGCATACTGATAAAGTCTCTGAAATCAATGAAGTTGATAGTAAATCTGTTTCAAACCAGAGCAAAGAAACTGGAGACAATGAGGGAGGTACATATGCATTAGAATTTAATATGGTGAGTGATCCTCTTAAAGCTCAAGTTCCACCGGGCAATATTTTTTCAAGAAAAGAAATGTCTAAATTCCTGAAGAGCAAAGGTATTGCTCCTGCTGGTTATCTTAGTACTCAGTCCAAAAAACTAGGAATAGTGCCTACTCTGCAAGTTTCATATGCTGGAGTGACAGACGGATATCAGATTGCTGATAAAGATTCCGTAAGAGGATTTGCGGAGACAGGAAACTCCAATGGGACCATTCTACCTGCAAGGTCTCAAAGTTTAGATTTTGGCAATGGGAAGTTTTCAAATGGAAATGTGCATGCTTCTGACAACACGAATACAAGTATATCGGGTAACAGGGGACATGGCTTCTCTGCAGAGCCTATTGTTGTGCCTCCAAGTGAAAAATTAAGTCGCACTGTGGTTTCCCAACCTGTTCGAGAGTCTCAGAGAAACAATAGTGCTTCTTCGTCAGATTCCAGCGATGATGAAGCTGGGGCTATTGAGGGCAATATGTGTGCTTCTGCTACTGGTGTGGTAAGGGTGCAGTCGAGAAAGAAAGCAGAGATGTTCCTAGTCCGAACTGATGGAGTGTCTTGTACAAGGGAAAAAGTGACGGAATCTTCTCTAGCCTTCACACATCCAAGTACGCAACAACAGATGCTTCTTTGGAAAACTACACCAAAAACTGTCTTACTGCTGAAGAAGCTTGGGCAAGAACTGATGGAGGAAGCGAAAGAGGTAAACGCTTTGCTTTTTAAATCTAAAAGATTATATATCTCTGTTGTGCATTGAAGTTGCCTGAAATTTAGGAAGCCCATGAAAAGTTGTTGTTCTTTCCAATTTGTTTTCAGGCTGCATCTTTCTTGTATCACCAAGAGAAGATGAATGTTCTGGTTGAACCTGAGGTTCATGATGTATTTGCCAGGATTCCAGGGTTTGGATTTGTCCAGACCTTTTACATTCAGGACACAAGGTAGTTAAGTTGACATCAGCTAGACTATATCACCATCGGATTAATCATGATCAACTTTTTTTTTGCTTTTTGGGAATATCAGTGATCTACATGAAAGGGTTGATTTTGTGGCATGCTTAGGAGGGGATGGGGTGATATTGCATGCATCAAACTTGTTCAAAGGAGCTGTTCCTCCTGTTGTTTCGTTTAATCTAGGGTCCCTTGGATTCCTCACATCACATCCAGTAAGCCTTTTGCATGTTGTATTTCTTAACTATGTCTTTAGTATTCTTTTCTCTTTCAACAGCCTTTTTATTGAATTATTTTCCATTAAGTTTGAGGATTTCAGGCAAGACCTCAAACGAGTCATCCATGGGAATAACACGCTAGATGGGGTTTATATAACTCTTCGAATGCGTCTTCGTTGTGAAATCTATCGTAAGGGCAAAGCGATGCCTGGTAAAGTGTTTGATGTTCTGAACGAGATTGTTATTGATCGAGGATCCAACCCATACCTTTCTAAGATCGAATGTTATGAGCACGATCGTCTTATCACCAAGGTTTGTATCAGAGATACAAAAATTGCTAACTCTTTAAGCAAGCGAGAACATCTCAGTGCATGTTTGAAAAGCTCCCCTGCATCAATACTGTTCTTGTGTGTTGACGAATAATATGAAATTATAGGTACAAGGTGATGGAGTTATAGTAGCCACTCCTACAGGAAGTACTGCTTATTCTACAGCAGCTGGAGGTTCCATGGTAAGCTATTCAACTTTAAACTCTGCATTGCATACCAAAAAATGAACCTCATTGGCATCTCTGAGAACTAACATCTCGTATATGATACGAGTGCGCAAACCTTTCCTATTTTGACGTTTATAAAATCCAAAATCGCAGGTGCATCCAAACGTTCCTTGCATGCTGTTTACTCCAATCTGCCCACATTCGCTCTCGTTCAGACCAGTTATACTTCCAGATTCTGCAAAACTCGAATTAAAGGTAAAAACTTCAGATCTTTAGAGCAATACATTTTCCTGTTAAAGTAGTTAAAACCACCCATGAAACTTGTTAGAAGCTCATGATTGCAGACCACGATATGAAAACGCTTGTGGTTTCAGATTATAGCTGGGTGAAATGGCTCACAAAAAAATCTTGTGTAAACAAAAACAGATTCCAGATGATGCTCGAAGCAATGCATGGGTTTCGTTTGATGGAAAGAGAAGGCAACAGCTTTCGAGGGGGGATTCGGTGAGAATATACATGAGCCAACATCCGCTCCCAACTGTGAACAAATCTGATCAAACCGGTGATTGGTTTAGAAGCTTAATCCGTTGCTTAAACTGGAACGAGCGTCTTGATCAAAAGGCTCTTTGATGATTGATTGATTCATCAACACATACATAAACACAGAGGGTACAGGTCTGTTTGTTTCAGTCCTCCCTCTTTACTGTACAGATTCATAATCTCTATATTCACTACAAATCTTTACAAGGGAAACCATTATAAGTTTTTTCTTCCTTTGTCAATAATAAGATGATTAGATTATAGATGATCGATCATATGCGCTTCTCTTCCTCTCCACCCTCTAATTTTGTATCCACTGTTCCAATTTGTTTTGCGTACATAAGAAATACTTGAAGCTATTATTTATTG